AGTGATCTCTTCGTATAAGAGGGCATTCCTTCCGAAGCTGAAGGAGTTATTTCTTCTGTTCCAGATGATGTCTTGGAGTGGGGAAAATCTCCCAAAGGAAATTTTCAACTTTAGGAGTATTTCTCGGTTTAAAAGCTTCCACAAGGTCACTGATATCTTCTTCATCTACATCCTCCCTTTCATGACCATCAAAATAAACACCTTGATGATGTGTTTGATGCTTATAACCCAAAATTATCAACCAATGTCATGCAGTACTTAAGCTAATTAAAGCCTTTGCAGCCCAAATTCAGCAAGGAGAGACTCACCAACAAAGTTCTTAAACATTGTAAGTGTGGTTTTGCCATTGTTAAATCTTAACTAAGAATAATTGAAAAAACGAAATTCATATTTATCACCAAGGATCTTTTGATGAAATTGACAGCAAATCAAATCAGATGTTTACGACACTTGCCAATCACCAAATAATAAATTTTTAGTGACGATTAATTCATATACATATATTGATTTGTTTTTAATATAGTGCAAACATTCCATCAACTTTTAACAAGGGTGGTGAAGGACAAATTGCTGATCGTATGTAATTATCCAAAGTACACTTTTTGAGAACTTGAGGTTTTAATAATTTTATTATTTTGCCTGTAGTGCTATGCGTGACACTTTATCATCATATCCTGATTTTATATAGCCATTCAATATGTATATTAATATTGGGTATTTACCATGGTAATTATTCTCACTTCTTTTTATCATGGTGATAACACATTATAAGTTCTTTCTTGATTGTCTTTTAAAAACATGAACCATTGTAAAGATTTTTAGGTTATAAATATATATTGAAGTTATAGACAAATGTAGATAAATTTATAATTTTATTTTCAATAAAGTATGATTACTATTAAATCGCGCGTATTACGTCCCGTGATTTATCGGCCAATCAGAATGTTTGAAACAATAAAAAAAGTCACGAAATTACAAGGTCTATATAATGATAAAAATGCTCCAACTTTAAAAATTACACAACGATAGAAGCAGTTCTGAAACGGTTCTTCGTAATAAATATCACCAAACATTTTGCGATTTGCATATATTTTATTCACCTAATTTATTAACTCAATATGGAAAGCGAAACAATTATATTGGTTTAAAGGCTGTAATTGGTGTTGTGCATGACACAAATCACAAATCATGATGCATGACGCAATTCGTGATTCAAGACGTAATTCATGATACAAGACGTAATTCATGATACAAGACATAATTTAAGGCAAAAGACTAGAGATGGTGACCGGAACTGACCTATAGTTTAGGTATTCAGGCAATTTTGATTAGGTCTAACTTCGCCCATGAAAAATTTTGGCGAAATTGGTGAAACTTAACAATTAAACCCTACTAATGCTGTTTTATTAAGAATTAATTTGTTTTATTATTTATTAAATTATAAAATGTTTATTATAATTATTATTATTATTACAAACGAATTTGGTCAAAAGTGACGATAATCATAATCTTTTCTCTTAAAATTAATCTTTGTAATTAACATATAAAAATAAATAATTAAATGTAAATAATAAAAAATGCGAATAAATGTTAATAAAGAATACGAATATTATTAATACGAAAGAGACTATTATAGGTCACATGTACGGCATACGATTGGACGGCACTTCAATAAGTCCGTTTTATTTATCACAATATAAAACTTTTGCTCATAGGTTTGACAACTTAACCACAGCTTAAAACTTCGTCCACAGTTTACGAGTTTCTCCCATAGTAATCTTTTGTAAAAAGTTACAGTGCGGATCATCTATACTCAAAAGTTAAAAATTTTGAAATATCATGTGATCCACACATTGGATTTTTAAAAAACCCACCACCATTCAATTCAGTTTTAAAAAGGGAGTCTATTAATCTAAAAAAAAAATTTGTCTCAAATTTTCTTTTTCATAGATTTTTTAAATTTGAAA